CATAATAACATGAAGATTTATCAGTGTTCAATTAGGAAAATGAACAATATTTCCTGGTATGACCCAGTTCACCACTCCCAGGTCATGTTGGCAGTTTATGTTTAAAGCACACAGCAGATTTGATCTTTAGAAGTCAATGAAATACAAACAAATTTATATTAATAGTGATTAAAACTAGAGTATAAATGTGGAAACCTAGATCAAGGTTCTTCAGCACTGTTGTAAGAAAGTCAGTACTCGTGTTTGTGTGTGTGTTTAGCTTTGGGGATAGCTACAAAATAAATAATAATGTACAAAACATGAATCAATGAAGCAAGGGAAGTTAGGATGCTTTAAATTTATTTCTAGCCATCCAAATACAATATATTGGCAAACAACTTAATAAATTAAATACCTTTCTTCAGTACCAAACAATAGGAATGACAAAGTAAAAATATCATTTAAATTGTATTTTAACATTTTTACTCCTATTGCCATTTTCTAAGAAATTTTATTGGATACAAATGCCATGAAAATATTCATTGACCTATCCCTCTACTGTCCCCTGAACAGGTTCTCATAATTTTTATATCTCCAACTGTGGTATTTTAAATTTTTAATGTAATCACATTTCACCTATAAATAAATGAAACTGTTACATATTCCTTTATTTACTTATTGACTTATTAGCACACATTTGCAATACTGGTTATTTATTATGGTCACTGTAGGGTGTGGTGCATTCACTTAACACATTTCAGTTTCCCTCTCCTCCTCCCTTCCCTCCACCCTCTTTTATTTTTCAGCATGATATTCATTAATTTATTTTACAGGACCTTATAAAGTTAATTATCATAATATAGTTTGAAAACTAGACTAATAGGCCAAAGAGCATATAAAAGATATAAGACCACTATCCTAAATGGCCTTTTAGATACTTTTAACTAAAGTGACTAAAATATTCTTAATAAATGGTAGGCACTTCTATGAAATAGAACAAACATAAAGACATTCTTAACACTGGTCAATCAGTTCTAAACCATAAAATGTGACTGAATTAATCAACTTAAAGTCTATATTTATCATAACATTTTAAGCAGGGCACCTTTGTGAGAGTATCTGAGAAATAGTAATAAAATTTTTGGCAGCAGGAGCCTTTAATCCTTAGTAGGTAAAAGCATAACCTTGTAATAATTGTTTTTAAATGTAAGATCTGTCCAGCTAATTAGATGAATCAATTCACTGGCTTTGTCATATAAATGATTATAAAGTGAAAAACATAGATGATCATTAGCAAAAGATCTGAAATATATTTCAAATTGATTAAAAAGATGTGAGGAAGGGCTAGAACATATGATTAAGGTAGTCTACAAATAAAGCTGACATGACAATGAAATGATTCAGATATATTGCTATACCTTTCAGAAAATAACTACAATATATTGGGTACAGTAAAGTGATTTTCATGCATCCACTAAGCAGAATATATAGGCCTCATCCCAACCTGCATTGTAGTGGTGAGGAAATTAGAGATCAGAGAGCTGAAGTGATAATTCATAGTGCATCTGCAGTATGCATCATGTGGCTTTCATCTCAAGTATTTGATAAATATATAACTACTTCTTAGTGTTTTCATTTATACAGAGTAGACAATATCATATACCGAGTAAAAATTAATAGCTGAAAAATAATTAATACAAAGAAAATATACTTCTCATAAACCAACATCCAGCAATTGGTGCAGTATGGATCCTGTAACAGGAAATCCAATTTCACAGACACTGTATCATGTGTTCTCCCAGACTGCAGAGACCTTTTCATGTATCTCCAACATCCCAAGATACAAGAGGGAAAATGAGGAAGAGAACTGTTACCCAAGGCAAGAATTTACTTGGAATTCATCTATGGTGTGACACATAGCTAAGTTTAGGGGTGCAGCAAAGGGAATTTGAAGTGGCTCCCGGGGATCCATGGCTACTGGGATTTGCCTCCACATAATTGCCTGACTGTGGACAATATGTCAGATTTTTCTCTAGTAAATACAATATGGTTAAAGTCGTGCAGCTCCCACGGTATCTTACTTTACAGAGACTGCATCCTCCCTCCACTCTCAGGCTAGAGATTCTCTTGTTGCCTTGAGTAAGCAAGTGGCATGGTAAAGACCACAGGTGGTGAGGGGCCACCGAAGGCTGTAGAACAGAGCACTGTCTAGCAGTAGAAGGCAGCCTCCCACTGACTAACAGTGCAGTAAGGTCCTCTGCATTACAGCTGTAAGAAAATGAATTCTGCCAACAACCTAGGTCAGCCTTGAAGCATATTCCACTGTCCAGGCCACAGCGTGGGCTCACTGCTTCGTTGCATCCCAAGACAGACTTTGGTGCAAGATTCAACCACCCCACTCTTGTGCCCAACCACAAGAATCCATGAGGTAATTCTAAAGAGCTAATTTTATGACAATGTGTACAGCAATAGAGAAACTAATGCAGAAGGAAGATTCATGGCATGGCTCCAAGGTTAAGTCCATCCTGTCTTTCTTAGACAAATAAAAGTTAGAATGTCTACTAGAAGTATTGTAAAATAAAACAGTACTGCTGTGGTAGGCACAATAGCTCTCCTTCTAATGTCATAAAAGAGATAGAAAAACAGGAATCTCACTATAGTGAGCAAATGACTGAAATCATTTACACATATATGTATGAAATTTGAAATGTAAAAATGTAATAAAATTATGGTATCAATGTTCATGTTGTGCTAGTCCTGTTTTTGAAATTGATATGTTATAAGTAATTTAACAATGAGAAGCAAATTTCTCTTTACAATGCACTTTAGGCCTCAGAAAGACTATCATCTTTAAAAGACAGGCATTTTTGGTAATCTCCACTTTTCTGTTCCCATAGTTAGAATTCTTTTAACATCAACACACAAATGAAAGAAATGAGTTTAGCTATCTTTAAGAAAAATAATTCCATGGAGAACATGGAAAGCATAAATGAGGCTTCTGAGAGTTGTAGAAACTGAGGTTGTGCCACTTGAATGGAGGGCCCTGCGAAGGAAGCATAGCTTGCTGTAGATTGTGTGCTTTAATCTTTCGGGGCAATTTGATGAGTTCTTCTTACATGAGTTTTTTCAAGGGAGGTAGAAAGAATGATTTAGGCAAAAGTAGAAATGTGTTATCCCAAAGATATCAAGATATTGTATCAACCAAGAAAGCATGTGTTTTGTTTCCTGTTATGTCCTGTTAACTTGTGGTTAAGGTAATCATGTCTAATATCAGGGTCCTGTGACAACTGTTATGTTAAACTGAAAATATCATGGCTTACCTGTTGGAACCAAGCCAACCGCAAGCTGATAGCAGTCAATGATGAATTATTTTCTTGATAACAAGTGAATATGTATAAAGCTTTTCCTAGCCTTTTGTGAGAGCTTCTAGAATGGAGGGCTTAAGAGAACATACAAACCTAATATCACTAAATGCTAAATAGTTATCTTATATAAATGTCTCAGGCCTCTTAGAATTCCCATGTACAGTGGCTGTGGCTTTCCTGCTAATGCTAGGTTTTATAATTTATAATGTTTGACAGTTCCCCTAAGTACCTGCACATTTCTTGGAATTAAGTGAATTTATCATTATTGTCTGTATTATGATTCATACCCTTGTCTTGTGAATTATGAATGTCTTAGTCTCTTATAACAATATTCCAAGTGTCTAATACGGAAGGAAATAAAAAAAACTGACATCAGGCCACCACTAGTTGACTAAAGACGTTTTATTTCTTGCTCATTTTCTTTTCTGTGGGGGAGATGCAGGGTTAACACCAGCAGCCTTTATTGGTTTCAAGGACAAATAAAGCCAGTTTATCAGGTTGGGCTCCTGGGTCAGAGCCAGCGGACCTGCTCTGACGCTGCACGCTGCACTCGGAATCAGCTGACTAAAGAATTTTGCAGTAATCTAAAAGTTAAAAAGTATCAGTGAAATGTATTCGAGTTCACAATTTAGTGCCAAAACCTGAGAAAATGAACTAGGATTATTTATTCAATAATAATGAACACTAGGATTTTTTTCCCTCCTATATATGAAGTAAAAGAAGAAAAATGGTGTCTCTGCTATTGACTGGCATTTGCGTCTTCCAAAACTGCATCTGTAGAAACCTCAATTGCAAAATTGATGACATTTGGAGATGGAGCCTTTGTGAGATAATTCTATCATGAGATAGAACTTTCATGTTAAGTTAGTGCTCAGCATGGTCAGCACTCAGGAGGCTGAAGCAAGAGGATCATTGTGAGTTTGAGACTAGGCTGGGCTGCAAAGTGAGCTCAGCTGCAACCTACATAGCGAGACCCTGTCTCAAAAAAACTAACTAACTAACTAACTAACTAACTAAATAAATAAATAAATAAATAAAATTGATGCTCTTAAAAGACAATGAGAAAATGTGCCCCATCTTTTCCTCTCTCTCTCCCTCTCTTCCTCTCTCCCCCCACTTCTCTTTCTAGGCCATGTGAAGATTAAGAAACAATTTGAACACAATTTTGTACTTCTGAGATTCAAGGATTGTGAAAAATAAATTTAAGCCATCAGATTATGGCAATATGTTATAGAAACACCAATTAAGAAAGGTTTTTGGGGCCAGCCAAAGAGCTCAGCAGATTAAAGCACTTGCAAGCAGGCGCAGGGACCAGGGGTTTGATCCCGGGGACCTACTGTGCTGGCCTCACCCCTGGGGCACGCTGAGATGGCAATTGAGACTGGGCGTGGTGGCCCCCGGCCTGTAGTCTGAGCACTTACGAAGCTGTAAACAGGCAGATCACTATGAGTCTGATCTAGTAGTGAGACCCTGAACACCCACTAGACCCTTCCCTAAAAGTACAGAAAAAAGAAAAAAAAGAAAGAAAGGTTTCTTTAGGGATAAAAAGACAAAATGAACATTTAAATATAAACATGTCAACATTTTATTTCCAATTTTCTATTTAAAAACAATACAAAATTATTAAACCTCATGAAATTTTAAATAAATTATATCTCTAAAATATTAAAGAAAACATTATAACTTTATAATTGCACATTTCACTTAATCTAAACTCACTTATTTATATCATAATAATACATATAAATATTTAGCATCAAATTTGCTCTTTTAGCTGCTTTTTAAAAACAATAGTAAATAAAACCATTCCACTACCAATACATGACTTTAGAAAAACTGAATCTGGTTTACATTGATACAATAAAATTAGTAGTCCTACTAATGTACATTGTGTTATAATTGCTACACAAGTGCTGTGAAAATCATATTTTATAGAATACAGGATATCTATGAAGAGGGAAGCCACTAAGTCCAGAGAAACTTAAATCCAGTTCCAATTTCCCCTTGAGAGTTTGAGCCAAAGAATCTCTTCAAGACCAGCTGATTTCTATTGGTTCATCAAGAGTCACAGCATTAGCTCTTAGATCAATTTCTAATATCTAGAAAGAAAGTAAGATTAAAATTAATTTCTTAATCATACTCACTTTGGTCATATTAATAATGGCAATTTCCATTTAATTTTTCTCTAAATAAACATAAATAATGTTTTATTATTTATTATTCAATTCCAGGGCAAGATACAATTTTAGCAACAAGGCCACCAAACCTATCAATATTACTGATGAGGAAAATAAATTGCAGATAGAAAAACTGATTATCAAATACATGAAAATCTAAGATCATAAGCCAATTATATATCTTGATATATACTGTGATAGGGTTTCCAGTACTTGGAAACTTGGAGCTACTCATAGTTTTACTATCAGAATCTGTCCTCTTCCTTCCCTTAAACGCTAGGCAGTCATCCCCACCTAAGGCTTCAATTTGCAAGTATGGCTTCCTTGACCTCAGTGAGCAAGGCTTTCATGGGTTTACTGTATTGTCACTGATGTTTTTGTGTCACTCTCTTTGACTGGAGATAATCTCGGTGGAACCACATATGAGATAACAATAAATTTAGTCAAATAAGCAACTGTAATCTAACAGTCACCTATTTACATGATTTAATGAGAACTTACTGTCATTGTTCTTCTTCGTTACACTTATATGATTATCTGTGCCTTAGCTCAGAAAGCGGATTCAGTCACCAAGCATACAAGACAGGAAAAAGAAAACCAACTTCCCCCACAGCTTCTTATACATAGGACATTTTTCTGAAATTTTTTAAGTTTATTCTTTACAAGGAAGAGCAAATTTGGGTGAAATTAATATACCTTACTGTAAAATTTAAAAGGTAAGTTAACTGTCTTATTACCCAATAGCCAAGTTTAAAATTCATCCATTGAACACTAAAACCTAAGCTTAGTTCTTTTAAGCAAGAGATACACCATATCACTTTAAGTAGAGTTTGTTCATTTGTTTTAACTAGGGAGAGCTCTCTCTGGGAATATTTTTTATGAACATTATGGATATTTTAATCTGATAGCAAGATATTTTGATCCCACTGAGTGGCACATCCTGGCCATCAGCTTTTTTTTTTTTTTTTGTACATGCTTGTACAAGTCCACAATGATTACATCCTTACTGTGTGCTGCCTTATGTACATAACACATCTTAATCCATGTTTGTTTTCTTTGTGTTCCCTCCCTCCTCTTCTCTTCATCTTGTGAAACATTTTTGTTGTAACCATTATCTTGTGTTATCAGTTCAACTGTTCTGTGAGTAAGTTTCCCACACCTATGCCATAGGGTATCCCAGAAAGAGAAAGAAACTAACCATTCGTTCTTTTTCTTATACAGGAGCTCTAAAAGACTTAGAAAAGATTAAGTGTCTATAAATACTTTCTATGTTTAACTGTACTCATAAAAAACTGTCTATAGGCCCAGCAAAATAGCTCCGCAGACTAAGCACCTGCTTAGGCAAGTGCAGGGATCGGGGCTCCATCCCCGGCACCACATGCCACAACAGCCCTGCACCTTGGAGGCTGAGCCTACCCCCAAGTGTGTGGTGGTGCACACCTATAATCCCAGAGTTGAGGAGGCTGAAAACAGGAGGATCACCACGAGTCTGAGCTACGTAGTGAGAGACTGTACCAAATATAAGAAAGAAAGAAAGAAGAAAGAAAGAAAGAAAGAAAGAAAGAAAGAAAGAAAGAAAGAAAGAAAGAAAGAAAAAGCAAGCAATCTATAATTTTTGGTTAAAATGAATACATTTTAAATCATTAGGGCAATGATACAAGTTCACAAATTCTTAATACTTTAAATTTGTGTGGATATGTTTAGAAGCAGTGGGATAATAGTGATTCTCCTGTTTTCAGCCTCCCAAGCACTGGGATTACACATGTACACCACCACCCCAAGCTTCAATCGCTGTCTCAGCACGCCCAGGGCTGGGGCCAGCACAGCACACTGGGGATTGAACCACAGGCTCTGCGCTCTGCCTAAGCAGGCGCTTTTGTCCACTGAGCTGTCAGGCCAGCCCATGAACTCTTCAATCATGGAGAACTGATTTGCCTTTTCAGGATGCCAGTTTCTTGATCCACCATGGAAGACTGTGGGGATAAACCAGTCATGCTCTTACCTTAGAATTTTATAAATCACAAACATATTCACAAGAAGAAAAATGGATGTAAGATCCCAAGTTCTCAACTTTCATTTTACCAAGAAAGGACACTAAGTATACTGAACTACAATTTTCCCAACTGTGACAGAATTTTAACAACTAAAGGTTATCTTAATGTCACCATAGTAAGGAAGCCTTAATTCCATATTAAAGGAAAATTCAACTGCTCCGCAAGGCAGCAGCAGGACAATTTATAGAAGAAGCCTCCTCTCAGAGGTGCTCTGAGACCCACAGAGACTTAGGATTCAGACAGACGACTTACTGTGCTGTAAGCTAAGTTTCTCCCCCAATAGTTAGCTTGGTTCTTTCAAGTTCAAGTACAAAAGAATGTGTCCTCACACATTCATGCAGTATAGAAGCATAAAAATGGCCTCAAACATGTCAAAAACAGCTTCCAATTTGGCGAAAAAAATGCATACAAGCTGTTTTCTAAAATATGTGTTTGAAATCCATCTTTACAAGCCCTATATTTGCAGAATTTAGTAGGGGCATGACATTAAGATATTGTCTACTTGCCTCATTTTATTCAATTTGAAAGAAAAAGAAGGTTTTAAAACACTTGTTCAAATAAGAAGCTAATTACTGTGAATAAATACAAATGTATAGCATTATAGTAAATAACAATAGCAAATAAAAATCATTTATAGAATTGTAACTCTTTAATATGTGTGCCTTTTCTTAAGTCACTCACATTAATTGCTGCTTATTGGTAGTTGTATTAATTTTTCTTTTTTTAGGACAGGATGTACAGGGTCTCACTGTATATTTCTGACTCGTAATAATCCTCCTCTTTACAGCCTCCCAAATGCTGGGGTTACAGGTGCGTGCTACCTCAGCCAGTCTTAATTGCCATCTGTGCACAACCCAGAGGCGGGGCTGGAAGGGCACGCCAGGGGATCAAACTCCCAGCCCCTGCGTCTGCCTAAACAGGCACTTTAATCTGCTGAGCTATTTCGCCGGCCCTTAGTTGTATTAATTTTGAAAAAAAAAATGTTCAAATATATTTTAACCAAGACATGTGCAATGTTCAAATACACACTTTTTTGAAAAAGATTTAAGGCACTTTATCATATATGGATACTATCACATCAGAAGCTTAATGTAGTTTAAAATTGATTTTCATGAGTCAAGACAAATATAAGGAAGATTGATGTACAAATTATGGAGAAATGGGGTGTGGAGATGGCTCAGTAGAAAAAGTGTTTCCCTGGCAAGTGCAAGGGTCTGAGTTCAATCCCCGAGTCCGCCAAAAAATAAAAATAAAAAAAAATAAATAAATAAATTGTGAAGAAAAATGAAATGGAAATAACCATGCATATTTAGTGACGAGGTATATACAATATGAGAAAAATTACAGTTAGCTCAATATCATTTAGGCCTGAGAAGTATAAAAGGTTCACACAGATATTTTGAACAGCTACATTTTTAAAAAGTATTTGCCTGCCGGGGAGATGTCTCAGTGGAATAAGCGCTTCCCTGGCAAGCTCAAGGACCTGAGTTCAATCCCCGGTTCCACAAAAAAAAAAAAAAAAGTATTTGCTTATTTCACTTACGTCTTTGTCTGGAACGTCGGTGAAGTAAGGTGCCACTTTATTTTCATTATATGTCAAGGTAACTTCAGAGATAGGAGTTTTTTCTCTTCCCCATACATAAATATATCCAAGCCTCGTTTCTGTTTTATTTATGTATCCACTTTTCAATACAGTGCTTGTCAAAGTTGTCTACAAATAAAAATAAAAATAAATAATTTGAACTCAACAAAAATAGTTTTAAAAATCATTGTATATGTATATATTTCTTTCATTAACCAAAATATATTTCATAGTATAGTATATAATGTAAAATAATATATCTATAAACTTTAATAGACTATTTCATATAATAAACATGTAATAAAGTTAAAGATTCTCAACACAATGGCATATAAGTAATCTTAAATACCTTGTTTAAATTAAATTGCACCAATAAATACAGGTCTTTCTCATAGGTGTCTGTAGAGGAAAAAAAGTGATATATTTTTATTTTTTAAAGAATAGTAAACAGTATTTTTAATTTTCTTTTCTAGGTAACATGTTAACAAATTTTATTCATGAATTTATAATTAAAATCAAGTTGATAAAATATAGTTTATGTCAATGTTTCTATCTAAAAGTTATTATCGCCATAGAATCTTAATGCTAAACTTATTACGTATTTACTACTTATTAATACTTATTTAATAAATGCTTATTGAACACTTGTGAAAATCTAAATACTTTGCAACAACTACTTTAGGATATGTTACTCGTATTTCTTTTGTGCAAAAGAAAGTCAGTTCCAAGATAATTAAACTCTTTCAAAAGTGAAGTAACTAATTATTCTGAAAGTCTGCAGTCAAGTCCAATCTGTCCTGAGTTCTAAGACTGCTTAAATACATAAATGCATGCACTGACAAGATGGAAAAATGAAAGTCAAATGATGAGTGAAATGTATACTGGAGCAATATGGAAAAAGTCGCGTATTTGAATGCCCCCCGTGTTAGTTGATACATTGTGTCAACTTAGTTGAATCAGCTCAGGCAGATCGCACCATGGGGGCCTAGGCTTGCAGGTGAGCAGGGCCCAGGAATTGAGAAAGGCTTCCTGCCCCCTGCCTAGTTTCCTGCCACCCTGCACCGCTTCAGTGGAGAAATCCCAGTCTTCGGAGGAGCTTGGTCTTGGCAGCCCCGCCACTTTGGAGGAGCTCCGATCTTCACTGTGGAGCGCTGATCTTGGTAGGGCAGAAGGAAGAGAGAGGCTTGATGGACGCCGCAGCTGCTGCTGCTCCTCCTCTGCTCATCATTGTTTTCTGCCGCATGAACTGCTGTTGTTTGCCTTGGAGTCAGCGGAATATGGACTGAACCCTCCAGTAACTGTGAGCTAAATAAACCTTTCCTTCCTTCATTTTGAGTGTCCGGTATTTGTCCCAGCAACAAGTAAAAAGTAACTAAGATAACCGTTTTGCTTACATATGTTAATATTGTATTCTTTAATTCAATAAAAATAATTTACACCTCGTGTTTTCCTACGCTAGTGTTGCTATTCTGCTGTATTTCTCACTATATGTACTAATGTATGCATATTAAATTTAATATGTACTATGAGATACATTAGTGTTAATGTATCTGACTACTTTAACTTCAACATTTAAATAAACAATTTTAACTTACATTTTTACAATTATTTTTCAGCATAGAATTAGGAGTAAAAAGTAATGATGACTGGGGCTAGTTGTACATCATCAGATTTGTAAAATGACATGAAGACAAAAATCTGATATTAGTCAATGGCATATGTATATTTCATTAGGATAGGTAGGAGAATTAACATTTTACTAAACTGTAACTTTATGTAATTAGGCCAAAATTTGCCTAATTTATACACATTTTACGACAAGTTTATATTTTTCATCTTGTCTGCAAAATTATGATGTGACACAAAATTCAGAAAAAAATTTTTAAGGAAAGAATACTAGCCAGGTGTGGTGATATAAAATTCCAACACTTTGAAAGACTGAATCAGAAATATTGTGAGTATTGAGCTCATCCTAAATGATTCAGTGGCTTAGTCATACCTTGATTAAAAATATTAAAAAATAAAAGATGCTGGAGTTGTAGCTCAGAACAAAGGCCCTGTGTACAATCCTCAGTACCAAGAAAGGATGAAGGAAGGGTAGGAGAAAGGAAAGAAAGCAGGGAGGGAGGCAAAGAAAGATAAAAAGAAAAGAAAGGTGGAAAGGAAAAGGAAGGAGGGAGGGAGGGAGAGAAAAAAGAAAGGAGGGAAGAAGAGAGGGAAGGAAGGAATCAGATGGGCATCTGTCAACTACATTGGTGTATTTTTTTATGAGAGAAAAGTTTGACAATTTTCATCTAAAATGACAGTCTAAGTATTTCCTCTACATTATTGGTGATATTTAGTCAAGAAATTTTAAGAATTAATTTGAAATACTCATAATCAAATATGTTAAATGTACTAAGATTGTGAATATTACATAATAGGAAGTAATAATTGTTCAGAAAAAAATTCTTCTTTTATTAAGGGATCAATATTGAATTATACCATTGATCATCAGTGATTAAGAAAAGTTAGCCATGAAACTTGAATAGCGTGAAGATTATACCAAGATATTTCATGTGCATATGATTACAGAAAACAATGAAAAATAATTTTAAGAGGCGGTTCATATATTTATCTGTTAGAATCAATTAATTCAACTTGTAAATTAAGACATTCAGAGAATCCTAACAAGGATGTACATGATACATAAAACAGCTTTATGGGGAAACTGTGCACAAATTAAAAGTTTGTACAGTAACATAGGATGTGATGAAAAAGAAAGGCCCCAGCTTTGTAGAGCTCCATTTAATATGTTAATAATGCTCAGATTTCTCAAGAACTACCATCAGTGAGCTCCTCACCTTTGAAATTCCAAGAGGTTCCCCTCTATCGTACGTTTGCTCAGTAGCATATGATTCTGACATATCAACTTTCTAATATATTTATTAATTTGACTTATTTAATGGTTGCCAATTATTAACTTGAATGAAAATACATGCATTTTTTTCTATTATTGAAAATTCATCATCTGTGAATAGTTTTATTATGTTACAGAAAACCAGCACATGAGAAGTTCAATTAATTCTTGCTACTAATGTTTGTCTCAAGAAAAAAAAATGAGATGTCTCTCCTGGGGTACAGCGGACACTATTGATGGTAATCTTTTGTTTCCCTTCCTGTTGGCACTTTGCTTAAAGGCAGAATTCTGGTTTTCTTCTGCAACCAACAGAATTCATTCACATCTATCCACACTGTCCTTGGTATTTCTGGCGCCTGTAGGAGAATGCTTACAGCTGGAAGGTTAGCTATTCATTCTCATTTGATGAACTAATCATGGATGATATAAATGTAGATCTAAATTTAAAGACATCTTTTTTTAATTATTTATTTGTGTGTGTGTGTGTGTGTGTGTGTGTGTGTGTCTAGCTCAGCCCACGGGGGGGGGGGCTGGCTGGCATGTGGTGCTGGGGGATTGAACTACGGTCCCTGTGCTTTATAGGTGCTTTAGACCACTGAGTCATCTCACCAGCCCAAGATATCTTTTCTTAAATGTGAATGTTCAAACATAAGCAAACATACAAGCCGGTGAGAACCACACAGTGCGGAGTCCAAATATACCTAATCTGTTTTCTGGCCTCTGTCCTTTGGAGGCGTGCTTGTCATCAGTTTATCCAAAAGGGTGTGGCTGTCTGGCTAGTTGATATCACAGGAATCAAGAATCTCTTTGTGTGAATAGAGTTGTGTTAGCTTCTACTTTAGGTCATCCTTGCACATGCAGATCTCTTAACTATTTATGCATTTTTTCAGGGATTAAATATAAGTAAGATGTGAAGGTAATCTGTAAATATTTTGGACACTATTTATCTAAGTTATGTCATTTAAATTTTAAGCTCTATTAGATGCTTTAAATAATATTGAGTACTTTGTACTCAGCTTCTGAAATACAGTAATATACAGCATAAAACTGACATGTAATGACATGCATATCAATTATATTTATCTTTTAGATGGAGTGCTTACCTATACTGTCTCCATCATCCCAAAAGAGGGATCCTTGTGCCATCTGATCATCATCCGCAGCAACAATGAGCTTCATATAATTTGTTCGACTATAAGAAACACATATTTTATCTGAGTTTATAGAGAATTATGCTCTATGTCATGTAACATTCATATAAATATCCACATGAACACAAATAAGAGTAGTATTTAAATAAAATGTAATTTCACTTAGACAAGAAAAATTAAGAATTCTTTCTTTTGTAAACTAAGGAATGACATCAATTATTAATGATATCATTGATACCATAAAATTCATATAATTTATCATATTTAGAACAAAAATTTCTCTCATTTGTTTCGATTTTATGAGTTTAACTACTGTAACTGACAGAAGTGGCCACGTAGTAATTAAAACTATATTAATTTAATTGATATTCTTCCTGGGGAGCTAGTCCTTGATCATTAAGCATTGCTACTTTAATAACATTTTAATCACTTGTAACTCAAGTCTTCATCACAATTCTATATATAAATCACTACATTATCATTGGAAATTACTGAAAACCAACATGAAGCCATCAAATTCTAAGTCCTATTTATATAATGAACAGTATCTTCAAGCTGGTGCTTGTGAAGTCCTTTTTGTGAAGCAAATATTTCATGGCTAAGGGTTTCTCAGACAAATTATTTTTAGCTTTCTACCTTTGCCAGTCACAAATATTGAAGGATCTACCAGCAAGGACCTTTCTAGATATTCATAATCTTACAGTTCTAGTTTC